CCCCAAAACCCCAAAACCCCATGAAGTAAAGTTTAAAAGAAAAGACTAGCTGTTTGTAGAGAAAATTTAAAATAAGGGGAAATATAGTTAAAAATTAATTGGAACTACTCAGATCCACTCCGAGAGTCACCTACTTCATGTTTTAAACCCCAAATAGATTAGAAATTGCTGTAAAATCTAGCAGATAAACAGCTGAATCACTTTAGACCTGCCAACTCTTATAGCTATGACTCTAGTTCAATCTAAGTTTCGAGATTTTTTCTTCTAACTTGATCATAGACATCTTGATAATCTTTAAGCCAGAATATAAGATCAGCATCTGCTTAGTTGTAACGCTGAATAAAGGGATGCAAAAGTAGCTCACTTGCACTAGCACGCTTTTACGGTTCTATTTGCAAACTAAACTAAAAGTTAGCTGAAAAAGAGATGCATTTACCACTTGCTAATGAAATCAGAGATATCTAACGAAATTCCGTGTATTCCTGCCAAAGTGGGTGTCGGTTAAGTTTTCATCATTTCATGAAGCATGTATGGATTAGTAGCCTCGTAATAGGGATGGCGGCCTAGAGCCATCTCATAAACTGCAATTCCTACGCTCCAGATGTCACTTGGAAAGGTGTAATCTCTACCCTCGATTCTTTCAGGCGACCTACATTTTTTCGGCGGTTACAAATTTTATTCACAATTAGCGAAAAATTAAGCGTGATATGTTTTCGATTAAAAGTTAGACTTACATATAGGAAAGTGTGCCCACAAATGTACTACACATGTTCAAAGTTGCTTCAATATCCTTGCTGATACCGAAATCAGTGATTTTAGCCTCTCCAAACTATGAGCTAACAAGAATATTGTCTGGCTTGACATCTCTATGTAGTTATTTCCTGACTTCATGAAGATATTGAATTCCTTTGAGCACCTACATCCATATTTAAAGATAAATTTTTCGAATTTAAGCTGCAACAGACATCATTAAAATGTCCCAACTACAATATGCAACAATATATACCTAAGCAGTGATGCAGGAAATAACTAATTCAGGCATTAAAGGCACTTAAGTTGGATAAGCTTGTTTCATGATTTTAAGAATAGTATTAAGACTTCCGCAATCCATGTACTCTAAGGCCAAATAGACACTCCCTTCATCGTAAAATGCGCCATAAAACCTTATCTATAGAATATTTAGATCAGCTAATAGTTGTTTATTATACCAAGTAAGGACATTCATCCTATAATAGTGATTTCAGATCATTGTATAGCTAATGTCGTTTCTCTTTATCAAAAATGTTGATACTCTAAAGTCATCGGAAGAAGTTAGTTGGGGAACATTTGAAATTTTTAGACGAGAATGATAATTAAATTATAAAAGTAGTAGTGGTAAGGGTAAAATATACTCTATTAATCATTCTTTAAAATGAACAGCAGTACTTTACCGTTTACTATCAGCAGGCTAAGTATCTTAATAGAAAAAGCCCATATTTGTGCTCAAATAATCCTTTGAAAATTGTGATTGACTTACCTTGATAGCTATTGGAAGTCCACTAGCTTTAAGTATAGCCTTATATACCATGCCTCCATTTCCCTTCCCCAGAATCTCTTAGTACTAAATTCAAATATTTAGAATTTCATCTTTTTGAATACTTCAATTTCACTAGGAAGAATCATTGATGATCTCTCACCAGTTCTTGTATTTTATAGACCTTCTCTGTCAATTTTTACATCTTGATTCATTATTCTGAATTCACCTTGGAGACTATATTAGGATCATTAATAAGAGTGACTTGAAGCATAATAATAATAAGTTAGTATACATTTCGCAGGACATTGAGTAAGAGTTCATCATGGCATCATTGTCTAGATTTGAAAAATCGCTCATAATCAAGTTTCTCTTCATGTTATCCATCTGATAAACATCATCATCACACTAAATATACTTCTCTTTATTAGATCTCTTCTATCTAATTTATATCTTTATTATTTCATTTTCAATTATGCAGGGTAAGTCTGATTCATACCTGCGGGGTTTTGGGGTTTTGGGGTTTTGGGGTTTTGGGGTTTTGGGGTTTTGGGG